TTAACACTCTTCTAGAAGGACCTGCAGGCATCATACATACAACTCATTTTTTCCTTTTCAGTTTTTGTCTTTTTGTTTCTGGGACACCCTTGGTGTTGCTCAGAGCTCACTCTTGGCTCTGTGGTCATGGATCACTCGTGGAAGTGCTCAGGAGACCATCTGTGTTGCTGGGGATGAACCCAGCACAGCTGTGTGCCAGGTAAAAACCTTGCCTGCTGTTCTCTCTCTGTCCCCCCCCACTTTTTTTTTTGTTTCTGGGCCACACCTGGCAATGTTTAGAGATTAGTACTGGCTCAGTGATCAGGAGTCATTCCCAACAGTGCTCAGAGGACAATATGTTGCTGAGGGTGAACCCAGCTGCATGCAAACCATGTGCTTAGTCTCTTGAGTGATTTCTTTGGCCTTCCCCCGAATCCTTTCTTTTTCTTTTTCTTTCTCTTTTTCTTTCTCTTTTTCTTTCTCTCTCTCTTTTCTTTCTCTTCTTTCTCTCTCTCTTTTCTTTCTCTTCTTTCTCTCTCTCTTTCTTTCTCTCTCTCTTTCTTTCTCTCTCGTTCGTTCTTTCTTTCTTTCTTTCTTTCTTTCTTTCTTTCTTTCTTTCTTTCTTTCTTTCTTTCTTTCTTTCTTTCTTTCTTTCTTGTGAGGGGTTTGGGCCACAACTGGTTGCACTCAAGCACCTTACTATCTGTGTTATCTTTCCAATCCCTGCTCCTGACAATCCTTTAGACTCTGATGGGTGTGGATTGGGATTGGGGTGAGAAGTGGTTTGCTGTTCCCTTCTGCTGTGCTGCTCTCCCTCCCTCCCTCCGCCCCCCTCCACCTCTCTTTCTCTGAATTTGGTCCATACCCAGTGGTACTCAGGGCTCACTCACTTTGTGCTCAGGGATCTCTTCAAGACAAGTGCCCTCCCATCTGTACTATCTCCCCAGCACCTCATTCTATTTTTTAAACAGTGTCTATTTCATAATTATTCAGTTCTTTGCTTCTTCCAAAGACAGTGCCTGCTTCTTGGGGTTAGCACCTGCTTTAACCTCAGGAGCAGTTAGGTTGGGGGATTAGGAGCACCACTTTTCTTACTCAGCTAGGGGCAGCCTGATGTCTGACTTGGGTGTCTTTGGTACCTGCTCTCTCAGCCCTCTGAATAATTCTTTTTTCAGATCATTTAACTATTTAAGAAAAAAAATGTTTTCCAGCCACTCTATGTGTACTGGGGGCAACGAGCCCAGGTTGGTGCTTGAGGTCATTCCTGGGGATGCTGGGGGAACCATGAGGTGTGGGGATCAAAAATTCTGGGACTTCACGGGTACTCCAGTCCCGAGACATCACATTTACTAAGAAAAGAAAACAATCCAATTTATTTGTTTTTTTGAGCCACACCCAGTGGTGCTCAGCAGTTATTTCTGGTTCTGTGCTTCTGAGTGAGCCCTAGAGTTCCTGGAGACCATATGTGGTACCAGAGTTCAAATCTGTGGTCAGAGGTATGCAAAGCAAGAATTTTACCTTTTGTACTATCTCTCTAGCCTGATAATTTGCTTTTTTTTTTTTTTTTTTTTACTACACCCAATAGTGCTAAGATCTTATCCTGGCTGTGTGCTCAAGGATCACTACTAACAGGGAAGAGGTTCCATATAGGGTGCTGGGGATCAAACCTTGTTTAAGACAAGCATCTTACCTCCTGTACCATTTCTCTCATCCTTGGACAATTAACATTCTTTGGGTGGGAGAGTTGGACCACACTTGGTAGTCCTCAAGAGCTGCTGCTGACTCTGTGTTCAGGGATCACTCTAGGCTATACTTTAGGGACCATATATGGTACCAGATCTAATTAGAATCAGTCACATACAAAGAAAGTAACTTACCCTCTGTACTATCTCCCTGCTCATGGGCAATTAGCTTTCAAGATAATAGTTAAAATGACCATGTACTAAGCACCTGGGGAATAAGTACAAGATGTAAAATAGGTTTTAAAAATTTAATTTTTATTCATGAGCTATAACCTTTAATAAAATTATTTCAAAATTTTTTATCCAACTGGTTTATTTGTTAAATATTTTGAAATATTAAGATATTCACAAGTCTTGTTCTAATATGGGAAAATTAGTATCAAGTGTATTATTTGTCTTCTGAAGAAAATAATGTGACATTATGTGGGTCAGTTTCATTGAAGAGGTACTGATTAATTTTCTGTTCAACAATTTAATTAGGTACACTTGTGAGCCCTTTAGCAATAAATATTCACATAAACCGTTGACTACTGTAAACAAGACTTTGTTTTGTAGGTAACATATTTTGTCACAAGGATAAAGCAGACACCCAATATGAAAAGGCAGAGAATGAAGAAGAAACGTAACAAGATTGAAGGCGCTGAAGGTGGAAAACAGGTATATATGCTCAAATTTGTCCACACTGATTAGGAACTGTTCAACACAATGAAAGATTGTGAGCCTAACGAATCTACACTGACATGAGGCAGGTTGTGGGATAGTGGTGGTGGGGGAATATTTGAAAGAAGGGTCCTTTGAGGGAGGGAGGTGGGCACACTGGTGATGGGTGTGGTGTTGGAGTCCTGTGCATGGGACAAAATCATTAACAGTATTGTATATCACAGAACCTCAATCAATTAAAAAATAAATTGATATGGGGAGCCAGAGAGATAGTTTAAATAGTTCAGATTGGTCATGTGCTTGCCTTGCACATGACCAATCCTTGTTCAATCCTTGAAACTACATATGATCTCTTGAGCACAGCCAAAGTGATCCCTGAGCAGAGAGCCAGGAGGAAGCCCTGAGTGAGCACTGTTAGGTGTGGAACCCTCTACCCCATAATTAATAAAGGTAAAGGTAAAGGCCCTCCCGTTGATCGTCGATTTTGCTCGAGCGGGCCCAGTAACGTCTCCATTGGAGACTTTGTTGTTACTGTGTCTGGCATATCGAATACTCTCGGTAGCTTGCCAGGCTCTCCGAGAGGGGCGGAGGAATCGAACTCGGGTTGGCCATAATTAATATGAAATATAAATTTGTAAAGATCAATGGACCCTAACTAATTGTTCTGTTTTCATGAAAATTTCAGGTTGAGTACTACTTTTTGGTGGGGATAATTTATTATTATTCTTATTTTTGCTTTTTGGGTCTCACATGGCTGTGTTCAGGGCTTATTCCTGGTTTTGTGCTCAGGGGTCACTCCCGGAAGGGCTCAGGGGACCATATGTGGTATTGGGGATAAAATTTGAGTCAGCTATGTGCAAGGCAAATGCTCTAACTTCTGTATTCTCTCTCAGCCTAAAATTATTCTTTTTAATTAAGTTTTAATTTTTATTCAAATAAAATCAACTTATGTAGGTTTTGAGTGTACAGTATTAAAATTTAACACCTTGTGTGTACTACAATATATTTTTCACCAAAAATCTAGTTTTTACCCTTCACAATACAGTTTGCCTCTTTTTTGCCTCTTCCATTTATTAATTTTTGTTGTTCTTTTTTTGTCATTCCAGTTTATACTCATAGCTTACTCCTGGCTCTATGCTCAGGGATCACTCCTGGAGGGACTTGGGGGACCATATACAGTTCTTGTGTGCCACGGATAGAACCTGTGTTGGCTGCATTCAAGGCAGCTACTTTACTCACTATACGGTAGTTTTGACTCCAAGAAGACATATATATATATATATATATATTTTTTTTTTTTAAATCAGGCTAGGTAATGTAAACATTCCTCTCCACACCCCATAGTGACTTAGGTGGTTCTCAAAGCGAGGCTATAAAGATGTACACACCAGGCATGTGTAGTTCTCTTCTTATCTAAGTGAAACAGAAGAACATCCTCCTATCAAGAGAAGTGCAGGAGGCTTGAGTCTAGGAATCACAGCAAAATGAGTTTGAGCACATACTTTGCACGCAGGAATCCCCCAGGATAGATCCCTCTGCTGAGAGTTACTTCCTACTCCAGCACCCCTGGGTGTGTCCCAAGAGAAAAGCAAAGAAAAGCAAAGAAACACATTCTGTATTATAAAGATTTGATCATTATGAGGCTTAAAAGCCCATTGTATGCCTTTGAGATGCCCAAGCCCTGAATGTTTAAGTGTGCCTGCCTGCTTTTGCTATCTTTTGACTGGCTGTAATCTCATTTTCTAGTGTTGGAGTACTTTTTAAAAATTTTTTTAAAACATTTTTTATTTATTATTTTTTTCTTGGAGCACTTTTGATTTATTTATTTATCTTTTGCTGGTGTATATGCTATATTCTGGGTTGGAGCTTATTTGAGTTATCTGAAGGGGAGATAGAGGAACTGTCAGAAAGCAGTATTTTTTTGGTCATGAAAAATGCAAATTTTATTTTTTTTTTTTTAAGGCTTTTAAGTCTCTTTTATTTATTTATTTGTTTTTTAAATTTTCAAATTTTTATTAGTGAGACACCATGAGGTACAGTTGTAGACTTACAAATTTTTGTGCTTGGGTTTCAATTTTACCTTAAAGTGTGTTTGATCTTATTTTTTGTTTGTTTGTTTGTTTTTGCCACATCTAGTGGTGCTCAGGACTGACTCCTGGCTCTACACTCAGGGATCACTCCTGGTGGGACTTGGGAGATCATATAGGGAGTCAGGAATCTAACCCCAGTCGGCCACATGCAGGGCAAATGCTTTACCTGCTGTACTATTACTCTGGCCAAAAGTTTTTTTGATTCTTTCTAGCTATTTTTAAAAGTGACAATTTATTTTGACTTTGGGGCCACACCTGGCCGTGTCAGGGACTATTTCAGGTCCGGTGCATGGAGGGTCATGGAGTGGTGCTTAAGAACCAGATAGTGTTCGGGATTGAGTCGGGATCAGCTGAATGCAAGGCAAATGCCTTCACCTTTGTGCTATCTCTCTTTTTGATCATGATGTGTTGGGATAAAAATGTTTTTACTGTTTGTGGCTATATAAAGGAGAAAAACCAAGGAGTATGAAGTCTACACATTAGGATAATTTGTCAACGTGAAGATTTCTCCAGTGGTGGGCAGAAACTTTCACACCTCAGTATGACTCCCACGACCTCGTATCATTCTCTTCAGCGCCAGTTTCACATCTTGGTTCCGCAGAGTATAGATGAGGGGGTTAAGGAAAGGAGTGATGGCTGTGGGGAATAGGGCAGCTGCCCCATCAAGGGGGCTGTTGGTTTCGGGCCTGAGGTAGATAAAGGCACAGGGTACATAGTACACGGTGACCACAGTTACATGGGCTCCACAGGTAGAAAAAGCCCGACGCCTCCCATCAGCTGTTTGGATTTTCAGGATGGCACGAATGATCTGTATATAGGAGAGGAGGATAAGGGAGAAGCAGCTGGCGACTACTACCCCAATGTCCACAAAGGTCACCATTTCGTTGACCTTTGTATCAGCGCAGGCCAGTCTCAAAACAGCAGGGATATCACAGAAGAAGTAATTTACTTGGTTGGGTCCACAGAAGGGCAGGCGGAAGGTAAGGATAGCCTGGATAGCCCCATGGATGGATCCTGCCACCCAAGCTCCAGTCACAAGCAAGGCACTCAGTTTTGCACTCATAAGCACAGGGTAACGCAGGGGCTTACATATGGCCAGATACCTGTCATAAGCCATGAGTGTGTACAGAAAGCACTGGGTGCTGCCCAGGAAGTGATAGAAATAGAGTTGACACACACAGCCACCAAATGGAATGGGCTTGACGCCTAAAGTAAAATTCATCATGAGGCGAGGAACAATGATGGTGGAGATGCCCATGTCAATGACGGAGAGAACGCCAAGAAAGATGTACATGGGACGGGCATGGAGCTGGGGATCTACCCAGACAGTGACCAAGATAATAAGGTTCCCCAGCTGAGTCAGCATGTAGATGAACAAAAAGAATACAAAAAGAAACGTTCTTAGCCTGAGTGGGTAGGGAATTCCCGTCAGGATGAACTCTGTCACTACTGTGCTGTTGGCTCTTTCCATTCTCTGAGATTTCACCTGGAGAATGGGCAAAATAGGGCTTAGTATAGAGGTGGGAGGGAAGTGAGGAGAAACTAGAGATAGTAAAGGTCAGAGACAGTGGCAGATATATTTCTCTTTTAAGGAGAATCATGACAATTAGGGAGAAAGCACAAATGGCTAAAAAGCACATGAGAAATCACTCTATATGACTAATTACCAGATAGATGCAATTTGGAACAACAGTGAAATATCATCTCATGCCACAGAGACTGGCACACATCAAAAAAGAACAACTAGTACTGGAGTGGGTGGAGAGAAAGGGACTCTTCATTGGTGGTGGGAATGCTGATTTGTCCAGCTTTTCTGGAAAACAATATGGATATTCCCCCCAAAACTAAAAAACTTGAGCTTCCATATGACCCAGAAATACTGTTCTTGGGAATATACCCTACTGGCCCAAAAACACAAAGCAGAAAAGGCATCTGCACTACAATGTTTATTGCAGCACTATCAGCACTATTCATGATAGCCAGAATCTGGAAGCAACTCAAGTACCTGAGAACAGATGAGTGGATAGAGAAACTATGGTATATCTACACAATGGAACGCTATAAAGCTATTAGGAAAAATTAAGTCATGATATTTGCATATAGGTGGATCAACATGGAAAGTATCATGTTAAGTAAAATGAGTCAGAAAGAGAGGGACCGACATAGAAAACTTGCACTCATTTGTGGAATATAAAATAACAGAATGGGAGACTAACACCCAAGATTATTAAAGATAAGTACTGGGAGGATTGCACCACAGCTTAGAAGCTGGACTCACATACTGGGGGAAAAGGCAGCTCAGTTAGAGAAGGTATCACCAAACAAATGGTGCTAGGAATAGGCGCTTGGGATGGGAGACACACCCTGAAAGCAGAATACAGACTGAACAAGATGGCCACTTAATATCTCTATTGCAAACCATAGCACCCAAAAGGAGAGAGCGAGCAAAAGGGAATGCCCTGCCACAGAGGCGGGGTGAGGGAGGGAGGACGAGGTGGGGGTGATGGGAGGGATGCTGGGACCATTGGTGGTGGAAAATGGGCACTGGTGGAGGGATGGATACTCGACCATTGTATGACTGAAATGCAAGCACGGAAGTTGGTAAGTCTGTATTTGTACCTCATGGTGATTCACTAATAAAAAAAAAGAAAAGCAAAAAATTAAAAAAAAAACAATTAAATTAAAAAAAAAAGAAATTTGCTTACATATGGGTGGACATGGAAAGCATCCTGGCTGAGTGAAATTCAGTCAGAAGGAGAGGGACAAACAGAATGATCGCACTCATTTGTAGAATATTAAAAAAAAGTATGTGAATAATACCAAAAGACAGTAGAAAAAAGGTCATGAGGACTGGTCCATGGTAAAAATATTACTACCAAGGGAGAGGAGGAGTGTGGTTAGGACAGAGATGGCACCACTATGACAATGATAATTGAAAATGATCACTCTGAACACAAATTTGAGCACTAAAAGGAGATAAAGTGAAATGTATGATACCCTTTCAGTAACAGTATTGAAAACCAAATTGCCTAGAAGGAAAATAAGAGAGAGAAGAAAAGTGTCTTTTATAGAGGCAAGCTCGGGGGTGGGGGTGCGATGGGGTGGGGGGGTAGGCAGAAAACTGGGAGCAATGTGAAGGGATGGGTGTTGGAACATTGTATGACTGAAACTCAATCATAACAACTGTATATCTCAAGGTGATTCAATAAAAAAAGATAAGGAGAAAGTATTTTCTGTGTTAGGAGTTTTCATGTTCTATAGACAGATTTTTATTGGAATGCAACTGTGAGAATTTGTTAGCATGTCATGGGGTGCTACTTTGGTGCTAGGAGAGTAGAACTGAATAATTATATGTGGCCTGTAGATCCTAAAATATTTACTCTTTGTGGACTGGATCAGTTGCTTTGCATGTGGGAGACCTAGGTTTGATTCCTGGCACTGCATGATCACCCAAGCACTGAGCATAGAGCTGGGAGTAGCCCCCATGTGCTCCCAGGTGTGGCTGTGTGTGTGTGTGTGTGCGCGTGTGGTGTGTTGTGTGTAATGAATTTTCTTTTTTTCTTTTTTTTAGATTTTTTGGTTTTGAGTCACTCATGGCAATGCTCAAAACTTATAGGACTAAGGAATTAGTCCTCTACATTCAGGAATTACTCCTGAAAGTATGTGGAAAACCATATGGGTATGCCAGGGATTGAATCTGTCTGGGTCGGTCTCATGCAAGGCAAACACCCTACCCACTGTATTATCTCTCTAGTCTCCTGCTTTGTGAATTTTTACAGAACATTTTTCTATACCTAGAGTACTTTTGACAAAGACTAAGGTATGGAAAGACATTTATTTTGTTAGATGCTTTGTCAGTTCAGAAGCTCTCAGAGGCCACTATTTTATTCTCTTTAATTTCTCTGCTGGGAATTACAGAACCATGAGGCTACCAGGTCTGTAATTCCCAGTAGAGAAACTCATTTCTTTTTATTTCTTGCTAGAATATAAACTTAGAATGGGAGTATGCAGAGAGAAAAAGAGAAAATTCTCTCTCTTTGCAGCAGAGGAAAAGAAATGGCTTGTTATATGTGAAAGTACATAATGCCAAAAACCAAAAAAATAAAAACAAAAACAAAATAATAACAACCCCCCCTCATAAAAAGGGGCTGGAGTGATAGTACAGCGGGTAGGGCGTTTGCCTTGCATGCAACCGAACTGGGTTCGATTCCCAGAATCCCATATGGTTCGCTGAATACCGCCAGGAGTAATTCCTGAGTGCAAAACCAGGAGTAACCCCTGTACATCGCCGGATGTACAAAAAAGCCAAAAAAAAAAAAAAAAGAGTGCTTAATGCTTTTCAAAATCTACTCTTCATGGTCTTTTTTTTTGGGGGGGGGTGAGGGGCTCATACATTACTGCATTAGGAATCTTTCCTGGTGATGCCTTGGGGGAACATTGGTAAAAGTGGAATTGAACTGGGATGGCTGTGTGCAAGGAAATTGCCTTAACCTTTGCATTATCTCTCCAGTCCTTGTGTTTTAGATTTTATTATTTATTATTTGTTTTTTTGAGTCACACAAGCTTACTCCTGGCTCTGCACTCAGGGATCACTCCTGGTGGGGCTTGAGGGGCAATATAGGATGCTGAGAATTGAGCCCAGGTCAATTGTGTGCAAGGCAAGCACCTTACCTGCTATACTCTGTCTCCAGCTCCTTGACTCAAACAAATTGCAATTTAGTCTTGAGACATGATGGTAAAGAAAAAAGAGAGGAGAAATCCAAAAGGAGGAGAGCAGAGCAATAGTACAATAGATAGGGTGCTAGTCTTGCATGCAGCCAACCCAGTTATTCTATATGGACTCCTGAGAGCACTGTCAGGAGAGATTCCTTAGTGCAGAGCCAGGAGTAACCCCTTAACATTGCCAAGTGTGGCCCCCAAACAAAACAAAAAAGAAAAAAAAAGAAATTCAAATGTAATGTCAAAGGTAAAACAAGAATGATTGGAGAGGATGAGGGGAGATGAAGTAGAGGATATGGAAGAGTTATTACACATTCTAGTCCCACCCCTTGGTTGGTATTTGCCTACAGGAAGAAAAAGGTTGGATTATGAGCTCTAAAAACTCCACCCTTGGGGCCAGGAATATAACTCAGATTACAGCACTTGACTTGCATACGTAAGGCTTGGGACCTATCCCTGGCACCACACACACACACACACACACACACACACATACACACACACCACCATCACCACCACCACTACCAACAAAAATAACAGCAACACCTAAACCACAAAATAAAGTATCAATTTATGAGGTGGGGTGGCAAAGAAACTGAAACTGATTAACTGATTTTGCTTTGCAATGTTTCACATCCACTCAGAAGGAAGATAGAGATTAGCAGAGAGAATTTCCAGAGCTGTCTCTGTTATGATTCCTTCAGCCTTTGCGCATGTGCCTCGGATCCAGAGAATTAAAGAGCAGGGAACTGGTAACCCTTGAGTAAGACACCTGCTGACAAGTAGTGACCAATAAAGAACTGAGATATTCAATAAACTTTACATTAATCATAACTTTGTTTTATTTTTTTAATTTGTTTTGGTTTCTGGGCTACACCCAGAGATGTTGGGGGCTAACCCTGACTGTGCAAACAGGATTCATTTCTAGTTGTATTTGGGAATTGTGCATCGCTGGGTGATCAAACCTGGGTTTCCTTCATGCAAAGCATGTGCTTCAGCTGCTTGAACTATCTCTCCAATCCTTAATCACAATCTTAAAAAGTTTTTTGGCGCCCTCTCTTCTCTGGAAAGAAGGATGGCGGCCGCATGGGAGCCTTGTGGACAGCAGGTATGAGCCGGGGGTGTGGGGGCGACTAAAACCTCATGGGAAGGGGGACGTTCCGGTCCGTCCTTCACGCCCTACCGAGGTCACCAGTTGCCCCCCGCGAGCGGCTCTCCAGCACAGCCACGGCCCCAGAAGCACAAGGACTTAATGCAGAACCCGGCAGCTTGGAGCAGAAAAGTGAACGGACTATGCGTTAATCCAGGCCATCAAGTCTGCCGGAGGGGAAAGGGTGTTGCCCCATTCGCCCTCTCCTCTCTGGAAAGAAAGATGGCGGCCGCATGGGAGCCTTGTGGACAGCAGGTATGAGCCGGGGGTCTGGGGGCGACTAAAACCTCATGGGAAGGGGGGCGTTTTGGTCCACCCTTCACGCCCTACCGATGCCACCAGTTGCCCCCCACGAGTGGCTCTCCAGCACGGCCACGACTCCAGAGCACAGAAACCAATTTCTCAACTATCTGACTTTCAGTAGAAATACTTCCAGGGTCTATAAGTAAAATAGCAGAAACCCAAAACCAACATTTAATTCTTGAACCCAGCTGTAGAAAGCAAATCACTTCACAATGCTTTTTCAGCATGTCTGATTGGGGGGGGGGTAAACTCTAAATAATAGTGGTGAATCTTTTATTGAAACAATGAATCTAATCAAA